TGTATGTATGTATGTATGTATGTATGTATGTATGTATGTATGTATGTCTCTATACATATACATACATGTATATATATATGTATTATAATTGTGAATTTAAAAACGATTCATCAAAATCAGTTAAATGCAAATGTTTGTGCTCTTTATCCAGAAAACCACATGTACTTTTTAGGATCTGGTTATTAAGGACACAGATTACATGTTAAATTTAAATATTTCACTATTTATATTACAGTAACAGAGTTACAGGCTTTAGTAGCTGAAAACACTCAGTATCAAAAGTACAGACGCTAACGTGCACAGTGGGAATATTTTACTTAAATTGATATAAAGGAATAAATAGATTCTCAGCAAAATACATTAAGTAGCAACATCTAAAAATCTTAATGCTAAATCACATCAAAGATACCATGGAAAGAGCCGTTTAAAGGGAATAAAAGATTTATTTAAAGAAGTAAAAACATGCACTTTAGTTTGACTCAGTTTTGTTCATTTTTTCCCAAATAAGCAGATAACGTGTCAGCTCCTAGCAAAAAGACTGACAGATACAATCTATTTCAGAGCAATTAGAGCCAGCGCCAGATTCCACCCGGACATTTCTCACACTTTGGACTTCCTCCGGCACCAGAATCAGCCAGATCTGACGCTCCGATCTCAGATGGCCCCAAAAAAAAAAGCTGCCCACTCTCCCCCCGGCCAGGATTCAAACCCGGACCCCTCTTCCTGTGAGTCCACCGTTTCCTAAAACACCTGATAATCTCCCTGCGTCTCCCTCTCTTTGCAGGGCTAATCTGCTCTCCTCTGAACCTCCGGCCTCTCGTCCATCAGATAAGTCTCTGGAACGTCGGTTTACTGAGCGTCGACTCTCTGATTATCGACCAATCGAGGCCCTCCGGCATCCGGAGCTGTCGGTAAACAAGGAAGAGGACCAGGCCGACTCCATTTTGAGTTGAGGGCTCCGTTTAGCTGAGGAAATCAGTTTTGCGCGCTATTTACGGAGTCAACAAACATTCCGGGGCCTCACAAAAAAAGGTCGGGAATTCTCACGGTCTTCGGTCACTGTCGAGAGCCTGAGCGGGGGTCACTACACGGGAAGAAAAATGGCCACAAACACGGTGGCAAACACCGGATGAGATTGATGTAGTGCGAGTTGATGTCGGCCGACTCGGAGAAATAATGACCCACGGCTGGAAATATTCACTCTGCTGTAAAAAAAAAAGAAAAGAAAAGAAAAAAAGGAGAAAAAGAATCTCGAAATGAAAATTCAGTCGAATTGTCCAGCTTGGCAAACATACTTTTTAAAGTTGTACCCTCTGGAGGAAAAGATGGCAATCTAATAAAGATATGCAGGATTTTTATCAGTGTAGCACTTTTCCAGACCAAAGTCCAACATCAATCCTGAACTGTTCCTCATCCTGAATTGTCCCCAGGAGGGAATGTGAGTGGGTGGGTGGTTGTGTGTCTCTGTGCGTGACCGGTGGCCCTTCCAGGGGGTACCCAGCCCATCACCCAGTTCCAGCTGAAGAAGAATGTGTTCATTTGCTTTGGTTTGTAAGAAGAGGTGTTTGTTTTTGTCTCCGAATGTTAAATTTGATCTAAACTGGTTGGGACAGAGCCTTAGGCCACACATTTACTAACCCTTTAATGCCATGTATAATTTTTTATTTTTTTTTATATTTTATTTATATTTATATTTATTTTTATATATTTAAAAAAAAAAAAAAAATTTTTTTATTGTATCTGTAATTTTTTGCATCCGAGACCTTTTGCATAAA